TCTATCTCTCTCTCTCTGTGTATGTGTGTGTGTGTGTGTGTGTGTGTGTGTGTGTGTGTGTGTGTGTGTGTGTGTGTGTGCATGTGTGGTTGTGTTCCATTCTTGTGCTGCAGCATGACAGCCTGAAGCTTTACCGGGAGGGGTCGCTACAACACTCAGGCGATAATCTTGTGGCACTTCTGCGATCAGTGACATTATCTGATGAATTTGAACAGCAGAGAAATGTGTCATGGAAAACAGACACAAAGGAGGAGACACCGGTTTACGTTTCCGTGGTGAGTTTCATTGAAGGACCTCCACTTCGACGTGCTTGGTCCGGGATGGTTGTAACCTGGTCAAACAAAGTACTTTATCTAATATGATATCATAATAATAATAAGTATTAATAACTGTATTGCACCCATGGAGAGACTTTTATGTGTACACATGATAACGTGTGGAGAGAAGCAGGGTAGCAGACAAAAGTGTGCTGAGAAGAACCTGGTTCCAAATTCTCTTTCCCTCAGCAAATTTTCCATCGCCATCATCGACGCCATGTGCAAAAATCCCACACCATTGGCAGAGCTTAGAATTACAAACCACACTGGGTGAATCATTACAAATGAAAAGTTTGGCAGTGATAGCTGAGTGAAAACCAAAGGAAGCTCGATTCACTTGGTCAATGAAAACCAAGCTCCCCGTCAACCACAGAGTAACTCGATTCTTTTTTCTTTTTTTTTTTTTGGGGGGGGGACCATTTCTCGATTCACACAGGGCCCATGCTAATCTTCTTTCTCTGTATCGTTACAATGTTAACGGGTGTCCCGGAGGACGTCCAGAGCAACTTCATTCTCTCCTGAAGAATGCGAAGATTTTCTTCCCCTTTTGTTTTTGCTGGAGCCAGCAACAGATATGACACCAATGAAAGGGGGGCTCTGTTTGGGTGCTCCTGTCAGCAGAATCGCTGTCATAAGTAGTGATGAAGAGAAAGTCTGCTGAACAGGAGGGAGAGACAATCATTAATAATACTCAGTTGTTCATGTAGGAGCTATTGCTGTTCTATTTTTATTTGTGGTTATGATGCAAAATATAAAGATAGCAGAAATTCATGAAAATGTATTACGTTATTTTGCCTGCACGACCGTGTAGGTGGTATTATTGGACTTATCTTTTTGCTGGAAATTTTCTTAGTTGTAGATAATGATTACATTCCAATATTACCAACATACAACTGTATTTCAATATACTGTTTATGCTTCCAAAATACAAAGTTGGACGAATCTGGAAACTTTAGGAAATCTACTTATTCTTTTAGGTATTTGGGGAATCTGTTTAAACTTTAAACTTTAAATAGAAAGAATATCCTTATTATGTTTATGTCGCAATTGAGTTAATGTTACTTGCTGTCAATTTGAACTTTTTAGTCTTTTCTGTTTATCTAGATGACATGTTGGGTCAATTATTTGCTTTATTCGTATTAACCGTAGCTGCTGCAGAATCTGCTATTGGGCTCGCTATTCTTGTTATTACTTTTCGAATTCGTGGAACTATTGAAATCTACCCAAACCAAAACAAGTGGCCCATGTCCGCTTAAGAAAGGCACCTAAAAAAGAGGCGCCTTAGATTAGAGAAAAGAAACAAACAATAAACAATAAAAGAAAAGAAAAAGAAAGAAAGGCACCGTAGCCTCGCCTAATCTATCATCTTGAATCTTCTTATGCAGAAGACTCATCAATATTTGGTGGTCGATTGTATCGAAGCATTTGGACCTTTGGCCTGCTATGTACTAGACAGCCGCCCCTCGAAAATCTCGGTATCTGTTTCATACAAGTATGTTGCGAATAGCCAGGATCGCCAGAGTTGGAACATTTCAGGAAGCGCTCTGGAAGCGTGGTTCACACACTGTTTCTAGAATAGTACGCATTACCTCAACACTTCATGTCCAGCAATTCGGCGGAGATGTCGGAATTTTTGCACTTTGTGCCTGGAGGCTCACAAGAGCGTTTTCCTTCGGCCTGGAAGCCTCGAGTGACTTCATAGAGGTGCCATCTATCGTTCTCCCAGCGGCTTCGTGGGAGCCTGGATTAGGCGCTAGCTTCTTATAGGCAGCAAATGCCGAAAGTACGTGGTTGGGATCTTGGGACACTGGTGCCAGTTCCGAAATCTTTTTTTTTTTTTTTTTTTTTTTTTTCCAATAGTTGCGGCACACCAGTGCGCAGTGCGGGGCGGGGCGGGGCGCACTGCGCTGTGCGCTGGAATGACAGCGTGCGCACTGTGCAGTGCAGTCCGCTGTGCGCGGTGCGCGCCCTGAGGGAGGTACGCTATGTGCGCGATAAAAAAAAAAAGAAAAAAAAAGAAGAAGACATGTATCAAGAGAGAGAGAGAGAAGAGAGAGAGACAACAAAGGGACCCCTTCACGTCAATTCGAGGGCCCCTGCAGGTACCTCGAATCGCTCCTACAATACATGTGGACCCATTGAGGGCCACTGCTTCAATGAGAAGGATGGCCTCGCCATGTGTGGAACAGATGGGGGCAGAGGCAAAAAAAAAATACTGATTCCCCAACCTGAAATCAACGGAACCAAAGCACTTCCATACCTCTATTCTCTTTATAACCACACCATCCCCATTACTGCAATCAGACTCGTTCTCAAACACACTTTTCATGCATGTAAACGGCAACGCAGCATACTGGCGACATGCGGCCACTCAAAACTCAGAGATAAAGCTTTCAGATACGAGTTCACTCTCAATTGGCTATGGCGACTTCAGCGCCCAAACATCTCACTGTTCACATACACTGGATCACCCTGGATATCCCACACGCGTCACTCTAACACTCGAACGCACACACACACTCGCTACTAACTACAGCTATGGCAGCTATCGCTGCATCTAACCTATCGCTATGCTAACTCCCTCTCTCTTGCCCACTGCGTCCTCCGGGCTCATCYGCAGACCTCCTTGCACAAGTCGCTGTGGCAGCGCTTCCGCATGGCTCACGCAGGAATGAATGAATGGCTGGGCGCTGCCTCTTGATTTATACTTCAGAAACTCGTTGGTCTGCCCTTTGCCATCGCCCCTTGGTGCTCACAGTCCCCCCGTGGTGCTTGCTGGACCGGTGTTACATGCACAGATATGCCATGTCCGTAATAACCGAGGATCTGCAATGTGATGAAAAGGACAGAATGGACAATGCAGTGCGAGTAGAATCTCGACAGACAATGTGCATTCTCATACATACAAAAGGTGCTGAATAGCGCAGGGAAGACTTCGATACAAGGACTGACCTCACTCACGTAGTAACAAGTAGCAAAGCAGAATGCTAGAATACTGATAACGAGCCCAATCAATGTTTGAGCCCAGACCAAACATGCATCATACCCATCACCGAGTGTGAGGGAGCCTGGCGCTGTACACAGGAAGAAGCGCCAGGTTCACACATACACAGACGAAGAGGTAGGGAACAGACGAAAGGAGGGAGAGTGATGGGAATGTCGTTAACACCAAGTCTTGGTCACCAATCCCAAATAATCCCTCGTTGCCTTGCCTGAAGTCCCCAAAAGTCGAGTCTGGATCCAATGTCACCAAGCTCTGTCTCTCTTCTCTCGCAGTCTGCAGATGCAGTGAAGTCAGATGTTGAGAGGGAGAGAAGAAGATGGTGGACTGAGAAGAGGAAGAAGAAGACTCTCTCTCTCACTGTTACGAACCAG